CACTTACAACAGTGTAACTGAGGGCAGAATTTGGCCCAATACTGCATGCAACTTGAAGAGGTGTAATAAAATGTGGTGCTGCAAAATCCTTTTTGATATTCACTAAATGTTTGTTTCGCTGTGAAAAGTGTATAAAGCAAAAGACAGACTTTTCGCCCAACCTTACCTGGCATTACTATAGACACCTGTGCATTCCAGAGTATTAGGGACACCACACTAATTGCCTTGTTTTTTGGGGGTGAGACTGGGGACCTTGTCCATTTCTGAGGAGTTATTGAATTAATTCATAAGAGCCAATGAAGAGGCTGAGGCCACAAAAAGGGAAGTTGTACTGAATAAAAAACAATTAAACTTCAGGAGGTTGGGCTGTGAGGATACTTTGGGATAAATGTATGAGCTGCTTAGGCCCCAGTCAAACTTTGCTCTTTGGGGTCCTCTTTAAAGCTGATTCTGTTCTCTGGTTGGTTTATGCACCATTCAAAGTAGCAGTAGCGAAATCACTAGGAGAGCACAGAAGGAAGATGTTCAGTACTAGTTTTGTGATTAGACCATTCTCTCCACCTTTCCTCTGACGTGAGCCTTCTTTCCCCCGATTCTTCCTCCTTTCTCCAGGATCCTCTGTGTTTCTTACAGGTCTCTGAGGATCCCTCATTTACCCCCGTCTTAATCCCAGATTCCCTACACTGTCTTGGGGCCTGCTGTTGCTCCTATTGAAGTCAATAGCAAACCTCCCTTTGCAGATCTTGGCAGCTTAACAAGACTGGATGGGATGGGACGTCCTTCATTGAGGCTGCTCCATAGTGATCCAAGGGGACATTGTTGATTAAAGCAAGGCATGTCTCATCCACAAGCTACATTTTTATTCAGAGCCCAATGGTTAGTTGAAAACCTGACAGCATCTGCTTTTTTTTTTTTTAAATTGAAGCCTACAGTAAAAAGTGGCCATCTGTGTTTGTAATCCAATTTGCTGCTGTTTCCAGCTATATTCTGTTCCAGTTAGACTAAGCCTCTCTGAAAATGAGATTTCATGCACAGAACTTAGTCTGCACAAATAACAGTAAATGATGCAATTCAGATGCCTTATTACTCAAATTAAGTTCTGCAGATACCATATTAAATTGGCTTGTTCCTTAGCATGTTGTGATGCTAGAACACACAGTAGCCGTTTTATATGTAGTATTAGGCAAAACTGGTAAACTCCAAGGTCAGTTTCTCAACCATGTTGATCAATGTTGCAAGAGCCCCCGTTCTGTTCCTGGGAGCAGATGCTGTTACCAAAAGTCTTTGATTACTCATGGGGTGAGTGACTTCTCTGCTAACTGAATCAGACTTTATTTAAAGTAATTATTTTCCTAGGGTTTGTTTGCTACACTTGCTGTACACGCTGTTGTGCATCAGCCATTAAGAAAGGATTTCAATTGGATTTTTCATTCTGATGTGGTCTCAGGGACCTAGCACTAATGCTGCGTACTACCACTACAGAGATCGGGGCTGAGCTCCAGTCAAACTTTTCTCCCTTTGTGCACTAATTCTAAAGCTGATTCTGACCTCTCCTCTGTGTCCTGTGTGGATAGATAATGCAAGGAGAAACAGCCATCTGAGCCCAAGGTAAAAAAGTACAATTCCAATAGCATATTATATTCTGTGCTATTCCTGCCCCTTCTCCCAGCTCCCCACCCTTCATCCTTAGCCTAAGGTTAGAACTCGTTTTTCCCTCAACTTAACTCCACCACTCCTCCCTCAAATAATTCTGTTTCACCACGAAAATATCAGCCCAGACCAGCAGCTAGAGAATATCTTATCCCATACAGGGAGGACAAAAATGCCACAGTTACAGGAGGCACAAACACATAAGAGCTGCCATACTAGGTTACACCAGTCCATCATGCCCAGTAGCCTGTATCAGATAGTGGCCAGTACTTGTACTCTACCAACTTCTTTCCTATCCTTTATGCTAGGATATAGAGTTCATCTTTAATAAATTCATCCCTAGAGGATGTCTCCACCCTCCACACCTGTCGGCTTTTCTCTAGTCCTTAGTTTAAAAAATCCTCTACAACCAGCAGTGTGGTTCCATTTTGGTTACGGTTGAGCCCATCTCTTCGGTAGAGGCTACTTCTTCCCCCAAAGGCTCCCCAATTCCTAATGAACCTAAATCTCTCCTCCCTACACCAGCGTCTCATCCATGCATTTAGATCCTGCAGTTCTAAAGGCTGAGGCAGTGACAGTTTAGCTTTAACAAATAGCATCTCTTGAGTTCATCCCATGGGAGTTGAACGAATGACATAGACTGTTAAAATGGATTAGGCACCTAGGCTCAGATCCTCAAACATATTTAGGGGCCTATCTGCCACTGAGGATCCAGGCTCTACAGCTGCGGGCAAACGTCTTCCTTGCATTGCTGTGGATCAGTGAGAGAGATCAGGGCTACATGTTTATCAATTTCTTTTCTGTCTCAAATGTGCATTCTCAGTGTGCAGATTTAGTTGGGAGGGATAGTGTGCTAAGCTGCACCTCAGAAATATGTGTTTAACTTCTGGATACCTTAATTTATAGTGATCATCTTCCTCGCTTGGAGTACTATTATATAATGTACATTTCTGTCTCTGTGGAAAGACTGTAGCAATGCAATGAATAATCCCCAGGATTATCCATGGATCTGAAATATCCTTTCCAAGAATGTCACACACACAAGTCAAATGACTTGTAACACCTTTGCTAGGTTCCAAAGTGAATAATGGTGGCCAGCATTTTTGGCTTGAATCTCTTACTTCTAAGAGGCAAGGTGCATACAAGCTTTTCAGCTGTGGAATGGCACCACCTTGTGCCAATTCATTACTCGCTTGGGGCACATCAATGTGACTTTTCCTTCCGAGATGATATTCATTATATGCTGTAAACCATATCTTGAAGGTCTGACAGATAGAGCATTTATTGCAACATCCCTGAAAGACCTTATTGTATTAAGTTTATGTATTATTGAGGGCCGGGATTGTGTATACAAGCTCTCTACAGGGGAAATGTGACAGATGTGAGACCTGGGAATTCAAAAGACTATATAGAATATGTGCCAGACACGTATGGGACCTTTGGGACAAGAAGTGTGAACTGGATTTCCTGGAAATCCCTAGGGAGGGGTTAATTCAAAGTCACCAACTCCAATTATGCTAAAATTAAGCTGTTTGAAGCTATGCTCTGAGATGAGGGTTAGTGGCTGCTGAATACCTGTTACAGGGGCCAAGGTCAAAGGCCCAAGCTGTATAAAGAAATGGCTGACCTGCCCAGCCATTCTTCTGGTTCTGAGACAGATGCACTTGTTACTCCAGGAAATCCCAGTTGTGGGTTTTGAAGGAGTAAAACCTACCAGAGCCCTAGTTTGGAGTTGGGGTGAGTTCCAGTAAGGTTTCTAGCTTTATTGTTTTAGTATGTCCTCTGTTATGCTTCTACATTAAGAATAAAAATATGCTTGCTTACAAGGAGCTGTGAGGTAATTTATAACTGCCACCATTAGACTGGTCAGAGCCTGCAGAGCGACAGAAAAATGCAAGTGTTGGCCTTTTTAGGCAGTCTGGCTTGCTGTGGATATCTCAGTGTTGTTCATGGAGCTGTGAAGCCTTAAATCCCTGGACAGAATGGAAAGAGATGCTGGTCTCTGCCCAAGCGAGGTTATAGCTGGGACCAGAATCCTAAAGCAGGTGCCCTTGGTAGACCACAGAGGGAGAATACAGGTGCATTTCCCTGAACTGTGACAGAGCTTCTCACACACGATGTTGGAAGAAATCTGTCTCCATTTTGCTCACTATTTACATCTATGAGGTCAGATGGTGCCAAATTATCACATAATGTTTGGAGTTTATTCATGCTGCATGATGATCTTCTCTTCTGAGAGAATCACAGAACTGGTCTGAGGCAGACAGGATACATCAGCATGGTTATGTGTCACAGGGTTATTTATCTTTTTAAAATTATACTCAGATTCCTGCAGGGACTTGCTAATGCTCACCTGCAGTTCTTGGGTTGAGAAGTTTGCACAAGAACTTTTCCTAGTAAATAGGTTTGTTTGTACAAAAACATGTTGCAGGTAAGATCTTGGTTCTACACCTCCTTCCCCTAGCTGCATTCCAGGTTCTCCAGCATTTTTCCTCAGTCTCTCATTGTTACATTACCCCTAATGCAGCCCCACTGGTGGTAGCAATGGTGGAAGCTCTAGTGTAAACATCTTTCAGGCATTTTAACCATCATGAGTCTAAACTTGCTCAGATCAGGCTTAGACAACATGGTAGTTAAATGCTGGTGACCAATGGCAGCCTGTCTACACTTGTGCTCCATTGGTACTACCAGAGGTGGATTTATGACATTGCAGAAGAGAGGCAGAAAGAACCTATTTATCTACCAGCAATAATCAGGGAATGGAAGGGACTGGAAGTTGCATCTTCCTCCCAGCTGGAGAGGAAGGTAAGTGCTCCGATCTTTCCCAACAGTGAAGAGTCGAGGAAAGAAATGGTGAGATCGCAGAAAAACTAAGGCCTTATGTACATAGGAAAAAGTTTGACCACTATAGCTCTACCTTTATAACCCCAGGTGGACACTCTTCTTCTAGTATAAGAGTGACTTTTTGCAGATTAGGTTAAACCCCTTCCCAAGTGATACAAGCTTAACTACAACAAGCCACTGTTATGCTGAACTAAGAGTGGCCACAGAGGGTTATAATTAAAGCACTTTAAATACACCCCTTAGCTTATACAAAAAAAAATTCCCATGTAGACATGATCAAGAGAAACAAAACAGCAAAAGAAGGCAGAGGGGTTGGGGAGAGATGGGGGTGGGCGGAGGAGACGCTAAAAGGCAGCAAAGCTCTAGGAGCAATAGAACTCTGGACCGGAAAGAAAACACTGACAGTGGGTGGGTGTATATATTCTATTTTATTGTCAAATAGAGAGGGACAGAAGTTTGAAACAATCCAAGTTACTACTCCCCTCCCAACTCCCCATTTTCCTTTCTTCAGACTCGTCTTTTTTTCCTACTGTTCTATCTCCACGTCTTTCCTGGGAGATAGGGCTCCTCAGAATGTGCCTACCCTTGTCTGTCCATTATTTGGCACCATCTGTATTTTCTGTTAGACTAGATGACTACCAAAAACATGGTCTTTGTGGTATTTGGTTTGACCCAATTAAAGCAGCCTTCCTTCTGTGAGTGACAGCTCCTACTGGGGGCTTCAAGGTCAGGATGGCAATGGAACTCTAATGGGAAAAGCAGCTTCTGTATGAAAATCAAGAACTACCATGCCTGTAGTGAGAAACTGTACCCAGCAACACAATTAATCAATCAGTGACTTGCATTATGTTTAAATAAACCAATGAAATCCTTGTATGCAAGGTGTATGTTTATAATGACAAAAATCACAGTAAGCAAAATTCTGCTGTCAGGTGCAAACACATAATGACTATTGTGTTCTTTGGGAATCCTGCACATCTTTCCAAGAACAGAACCTGGCCCAATCTGTGAATTAATAGTGACAGTGCATAGTTTGGCAAGAAGAAATGTAACATGAATAAACTGTTCTCTGTATAATTTACAGTATGTGCAATACAAAACAAGACATTCAAATACGTTTTACAGAATACCACAAAGATATAATTACAGTGATTTTAGCCCATTTTCAGGTGCAGATGTTCTAGCAAACGTATTTCTGTGGGGGGGGAAAAAAGAATATGTGTTAAATGAGGGAGAACAAAATCACAGACTCACATACTTTGTTATAAAGAAAGATATCCTATCTCCTAGAACTGGAAGGGATGTTGAAAGGTCATCAATTCCAGCCCCCTGCCTTTACTAGCAGGACCAAGTACTGATTTTCCCCCCAGATCCCTAAGTGGCCCCCTCAAGGATTGAGCTCACAACCCTGGGTTTAGCAGGCTAATGCTCAAACCACTGAGCTATCCCTTTTGTTAACACAATAGTTCATCGTACAAAGTAAAGTTAATAGGCTGTATAACATGTCTTCAGCTTGGATCTATTTCCATGCCCTCTAATCCTCAAAAATCCATTTATGACAGAGCCAGAAATATGTCTCAATGTCCCCAGTTAGATCATGGTGGGGAGGAGGAGTGAGAAAGAGACAACAGCTTCGAAGGTGCCATCATAATCTACCATGTCAATATTATCCATGATTAAAGCTGTGTGCAATAAACATGAAACATCTCAAAAAAAACCCCCACATTTTAAATATCTGCATAAAGAATGGCTTTTGAAACATCTTTGAGCAGACATCATTATGGCTTTCATTGCATTTTAAGGGCAATCAAGTTTTACCATCATTCTGTACATGATTTCTTTTGTTTTTGAGAACTTTGATCTTTTTCATTGTAAAAGTTGCCAGCTTTTTCCTTTCACAAAAGAATAAAAGCTATGGAGGACGGAGAGGCACAGTGAGGGAATAAAGACCTAGTGGATGCCAGGGACAGTGGGTGTTTCCAGGATAGTTGAGTGAACCTAGCGCAGCAGACTATAGACCTGCTTGTCTGGCATCCTCAGTTGGCCATATATTGCTCCCACTGAAATCAGTTTGGCAGTTTTGCAGATGTTTCAGTGAAAGGTCAAAAACAAACTAAGCCGCAAACCTATCATACAATTGTGTAATGTTGTAAAATGGGGGCAGGGTAGGAGATTAGGACAGAGAATTTTTTCCTTACCACAAGACTTAGTTCGTGCCTGAAGCATATACTTTATTCCCTGCATGGCTAAGGTGACCAATAATTTCAAAAGGTAGAAAAGGAGATTTCCTTCTCATGTGCATATCTAATTCCTTGCATGTAGCTGATCACTTGCCCAAAATCACTCCCGTTGTATTACAGTCAAATGCCCCAAGGTGTTTGTGAACGATGTGGCTCAAAGCTCACTTACTGAACCTGAGCTTCAGAAGAGGAGCCATGACAGGGAAATAATGGAACTGAATGTTCTCCTGGATTAGACCCTGATGTACTTTAGTTACTGGCTAATACATTAGGCTATATGCTTTTTATTATCTGGGAGGTGTGGTTGTAATCAAATGATCCCTTGAATAGATGCACTTACCTCTTCCCGATTACAGCAAACCCCACATATTCCTCCGAGAAAACCGTTGATTACTTGGATGGAACACAGAATTAATTCAATCCCCCCAAAGACCAGAAGAATGGAAAAGAGGGTCAAGTTCCATTCCACGATATTCCTTGGCTCCCGACACTCAGACCACCTGTCACGCTCAAGCAGATACCTGTTCATATCAATTAAAAATGTATTAGAAACTCATGATTCAGTGAAGCCTGTCACTCCCTGGTATTTAATGTATATCAAGAGAGCAGTTGCAATATGTGGACCTAATTCAGATACTACTAACCTTATAAGTGAGGATGAGGGAAGCAAAGGTTTGCTTCATGCAAAACTCCCTGACACTCTAGAATGCAGAGCAGTTATTAGGTATAGACTTTTGATAAACCTAGCCTTGATTTTGTTTTTAAGTATAAATAGAGGGCAGGCACAGGATTGTAGGGGACAGAGGTAGCGTTAACATACCTTTTTATTCTCCCCAATTCCAGAGTCAGACGGAGTGATCTGGTCCTCAGCATAATTTAGAGCAGTCACAGGGCTGCTCTAAGTTATGCCTGGCCATGGCCATGCCCTGGCCCTTTTTCTCCTAGGAATGGCTGCTAGGATGGGGGCTAGGATGGAATTGGTGTAGAACACAGCATGCTGGAGGTTGCCCTTTTGCAAGAGTGTAGTGGGGCGGTTACCCCGCTCCTACCCTGAGCTTAAAACAGCCCTGGGAGAGGGCTGTGGCAGGGGAAAAGCTCAGCTGATAGGGAAAGCAGCCACAGCTGCAGCCAGTGCAATCAGGGCCCAGCTGGCCCTTGTAAGAGGGCGGTGGGCCAGAAGGAAAGAGAGACACTTCCTAGAGGGAGAAGGACCTGGCTGCCTGAGAAGCTGACGAGGGTACCTAGGGTGGAGCTGGGGAAGGGCAGAGGGAGCTGGGGAACTCCAGCCTAGCAAAGCTCCAGGCTGCAGGCCGAGTTAAGGGTCCACAAAAGAGTACTGGGGCTGCAGAGGGGCAGCCCATAGATAGCAGAGGCAGCTGGTCCAACCCCCCCTTGCCAACGATGAGTGGTTAACAGACTGTCATCTGCCCCAGTGAGCGTGGGCTAAATGGAGACTGGCAGTAGCCACTGAGGTAAGGTAGGGATAGTGGGTTTGGGGTTCTCCTGGGAGGGGAGACCCAGAGTAAGGGGGTACTGCAGTGGGCAGAACCCCTGACAAAGGGCACTGGGGTCCAGGAGAGACATGGGGGCCAGCGGCAGGCGTGACATCAGCCTACAGAGGGCGCGCCGGGCTGGAAGGAGCTAATTCCCTGGACAACCAGCAAGAGGCGCCGTGCCAGTGAGTCGTTGTCCCGCCACAAAGGGACTTAAATGATGCGCAGCCTTTTGAATGAGCTGAGCGCACTGAACACTTCTCAGATGGGGCTCAGAACCTTGCAGGATCTGGCCCTTATTTTAAGATAGTGATTGCATCCAAAGGGAACTTTGCTCTCCATTTGTCACCGTCTTACATGAGACACTCTACTTGGTATCTGCAAACACCCTTGAACTGCTCTGACCACAGGATGAACTCACTGTGTCCTAAAAGTAAATGCCTGCAGCTCCTGCCCAACTATCTGATCAGAGTATTCAGCAAAAAATGACTCATCTTCTCCTTTCTGTGCCAGTGAAAGCTAAAGAAACCATCATGACAAAAATAGCCAGATGTGTTCAAATCAGATTCTCTGCTTCAGGGGGCCAGTGGAATGTAGGTGCTGCTTCCTGATTCTCAGGCCAGCCAGCTTTGCTCTGGCACCAGACATGCACTGCTCTGGAAACAGGCCTCAAGGGACTACCCACCAGTAAGGTATTGCTGGAGTATATCGTGCTCTGACCATGCATGCATTCCACACCCTTACTATGCCCCTTACATGGGGGCTGACTTGGAAGTGATGTAGGACTCAGCTATGCCAACTCTGTTTCATGGGAACTCACTCCACAAAAGGAGAATCCCAAACTAGGGAAATCCAGGGGCTTTTGGGCACCTTTGTGCAGACCAAATAGTTCTATTGTGCGAATATATATCTGGTCACACTTTTTATATTAAGGATACCTTCAGAAATAATTTATTTTACATGCACTGTGTGTAAAGTCCAGGGTTTAAGCTTGGGAACATACCTTGGTATCAACTGCAACAGCTGGATAAATTCTACCACATTGAGTTGGAAATGCTACCAAACCAAGATGTTCTAAACTAATTTAAAGATCTTTGATATGTGGCTTCTGCATCTTGCTTCTTAACTCTAATAACCCTACTATTAATCACCCTCTATGACACATGGTTTCTCAATATGCTTCAGAATCTTAAGCATTCAAAATCTATAGGATCATCAGGATAGTGTGTTTCTGGTCTCCCTTTTTTAAAACTGATTGTTAATAAAGTCCTAAAACTGTGTCGTCTGTCGTTGATTTCCACAGGACGGGGTAGGGGAAGGGGTGGGAGTCAGAATTTGGTTTGTGGATCTCCCACAGTTGTGTAGACAGGAGAGTTACATGGGTGATGCTCACAGCCCCTGGGAAGGAGGTTGTCATTCATGCTGAAACACTAGGGGTCTCTGATGATAAATGCAGCTTCTGAAAGAAGCACTATGATGACCACCTGCAGAATGCTAGGGAACGGTTGCTGGGCTGCTTGAGAAAGATTTCCAGGCTATCGTGGCTAAAACGGGCCATATCCAGAGGCCTGTCACGCAGTGTTTCCTATGATAAGGAATGATGCTGCTTTGGCAGTCATTTTGTAAAGCTTGGGATAGTTGTGAACCCCAGTTTACATGGTCTTGAAAATTCTCTTTCAGCCTAAGGGTACCCATCAGCTTTGCTGGAGTGGGAATAATCTATGAGCCAATTAGGTGTTGAGGTAGGGTGAGAGCTGGAGAGGAAGAGAGGGTGTGTGCTGCTTGGAAACAAACAGTTTATTGCGAACACAAATAACTTAGTGACCACACACTGGTCCTGATTTCACAGGTACTGACGCCTCTTGAAACTTTAGTGGGAGTTACAGATGCTTGACACCCCTTATGATCTTGCTCCTCAGCTGTACAGAAGATGATTAGGCCCCCAAAATGAGAATACAGTAGATCCATTCGTTTCTACAAAGATCAACAGCCTTTCTCCCTCTTGACTAGTTTCGGGTCCAAAAGGCAGTCCTTATTCATGTGAGTAGTCCTATGGAAACAATGGGACTACTCATCTGAGTAAGGAGCAAATTAATGGGACAGTTTCTCCTCTCATTTTACACCAGTGCAAACCTGTGTCAGCGTAATTACCCTCCTATAGAACTCAGTAAGCAGTATTAGGTCCATGGTGTTTATATACTGCAGTGCACAGCTTGCTGGTAAACAGACTACTCACCCTCCACTGGCGTTAGTGAAAGGATAGACCCAGTTCTGTTCTACAGCGGAGAGGCAGTAAGGGCCATGGGATAAACCTAAAGCTGAAATGATGAAACAGTAGCCGGACCCCAGGATTCCGATGAAGGCGGCCAGAACAGAGGACAGCATCTGCAGAGTAAACACACAAGTGATTCTCAGCATTCTGACCATTCCCTCTGAGGGCCCATCCAAAAATGATTAAGCAAAAAGCTCACTTACTGCACAGCTTTTCCCACAGTTCTCATGCCCGCAGCATCCACAGCAATTATCGTGTTCTAGTCCAATGAACACTGCAGCTGGGAGGAATATCTACATAAAAACAAATAATTGTGCCTGAGTGTTTGGTAAACTACCCTACAGGCAGGACTGTCCCTAGGGGGTGCAGGGCCCGGGGTGGAAGTGATGGATTCGTCTCTTCTGGGACCAACCAAGCCAGCCAATTACATTGGCCTGCGGAGCCCCCCAAAGCGTGGGGCCCGGAGTGAGGGGACCCAGGGTGGAAGTGACAGATTCATCTCTTCCGGGACCGACCGCACCAGCCAATCGCACCGACCTACGGAGCCCCGCAAAGTGCGGGGCCCAGAGCGGACGTCTACAGGCCATGCATATCAAATTCTGTCCTCACTTTGTTTTTATTTAGATTTATAATTTCACTATTTAAAAATTCTGCTTAGCCGATTCAGTCTTACCCCCATTCTGCTCAAGCAGAGTTCTCCCCTTGGCTTCAAAAGGGGCAAGACTAGGCTTAGGGATAGACTGTGATAAACTATGAGAACTTCTTTTTTTCCTGTTTGTACAGTGCCTAACACAATGGGCTCCTGGTCCATGACTGGGGCTCCTAGATGCTACTGCAATTCCAATAAATAATAGTAATATTCTTCGCTGTCAATCCAACACAGTTTTTGACACACGGTGGGTCAAATCCTGCAGTCCTCTCTCAGCGAAAGTGCTCAACAAAGTAGATGGGAGTTTTCACTGAGAGAAGGGCGGATTATGGTTTTGTGGGGTCCTGGACCAGAGTAAATGGGGGCCCCTCTGAACCCCTTCCACCTGCAGTCCCTCCCGCACCCACGCTCCTGCTGGGGAAATGGGGTTTGAACCACCCCATCCCCTCGCCTAGCACTCCTGCCCGGGAGCAGGGTCGGGACATGAGGGCTTGCCCCGCTCCACAGGAGCGCCAGGCAGGCTGAGCAGAGCAAGCCCCCGTACCCTGACCCCGCTCCCCAGCTGGAGCACCGGGCAGGTGGAGCAAGCCCCGCATCCTGACCCTGCTCCCCGACTGGAGCACCGGGCAGGCGGGCAGAGCGGGTCAGGGTGTGGGGACACCCATTTTTCTGGGGCCTCCCAATTGGCCAGGGCCCCTGGGCACGGGCCCGTTGGCCCAATGGCTAATCCACCACTGACCACACTACTAGGCTATTTTGATTACATCCATCATTTCAACTATAATGAGGTATGATGACACTAGTTACTGAAAAGTAGTTGCAAGTGTTTTGTTTATACGGGATATCTAATATGAATGGAGTAAAAAAGCAAGAAGTTTCTATTATTGGTAGAACTGGGCAAAATATTCCATGTAGACAATATTTTTCCTTTGTTTTCCAAGTTCACAAAACTGCCATAGAATTGCAGAATTTGTGTGAAAACTTCTGATGAATTGACACCTCTCAGATTTTGCACTCTGAATCAGTTAAAATAAAAAATTCACACTTGCAAATTTTCAACCTGCGGTGAAAAGGGAGTGAGCAGCATGACCTAGTGGATTAAACACAGAAACTGCTTAGGCCTCAGCCAATGTCTGGCCTTAGTCATACTTTGTACTCATAGCACTTGATAAACACTATCCAGTGATTGCTCACACAACCCTTAAGAAGGAGGTAAATATCTGTTGTGAGCACTACACACATACTTTAAAACATATGGAAAAGTAAAAAAAAAAAATTCTTCAATTGAAAATCACAACCAGGCACCTGCTGGCTCTTAAATGACATACTAGTGCCCAAATCCTCCAAAGACTTATTTAGGTTCATAACACTATGCACTGAGCAGGCCCATTAAAGTCAAGCTGGAAATAGTCACATAGTTAAGTAAGTCTTTTAATGTAAGCTTCAAGGTCCCCATCTTGCAATCGGGATCTGCACTGATGCAGGGTTCCGCTCACATACAGCTCCTTTCAGAATCGGGGCCTAAATTAACCATCTGCTGCCCTGTAGTGAAAGTTTCAGTACTTCAGAAACAGCAGTATATCCTCCTTGCCTATTTCTCTAACACACTTGGTAAGGCAACTCCCATCTTTTCATGTGCTGTATATTTATACCTCCCTATTGTATTTTCCACTCCATGCATCTGATGAAGTGGGTTATAGCCCACAATAGCTTATGCCCAAATAAATTTGTTAGTCTCTAAGGTGCCACAAGGACTCCTCATTGTTTTTTCTAACACACTGGTGTGACAATAAACAACTGTTGAATTTCCCTGAATAAACACCTAGGACATGGCAGCAGCCAATGCCTTCCAGAAATCTTAGGCACATTTGAAGAAATAGTTACTACTTTTAATCAAATATAATCATTTTAAAAAGGAGAATAGATTAACAGTAAACTACTTTTATAAAATACAATACAAATCCAGGGCCCAAACCTGCCAACATTTACACATGTGCGTAACTTTACTCACATGAGTTGTCCCACTGAAGAAGCAGGACCTTAGTTTGCATTTCTTTGTCATTAAAACTGGGAATGCTCCCGAGATTTAAATCATAAAAGATGGCAGATGAATAGTGTGATTAATAGTAATAATTTATATGGCATCACATATATGCTATAAAGTTACAGAGGTGTAAAGACTTGACAAAAAAGCAGTCAGACAAAAATCCTACAACTGACAGAGAAATATGAATCTTTAATCTTAATGTTCCTAGTAAGAAAACAAATTAAAACACGCTAGCTTTAGTTACTTACCAAAATCCCTCCTCCTATAATTCCATGAAGGCACGTCACATACTTGCTAAGCTGATGTTCTGAAGCGAATCTTGTTTCACCATTGGGAAAGTAAAGCAAGATGTTAGCCACAATGCAGAGGAAGGCAAGAATGAGCAACTTGTACCCAATGCACCTAGCACACTTTCCAAAACACATGTCTGAAATTCTATAGATCTTTCTTTAGTAGCTCAGCACTACCACAGACCAGCCTGTATGGTACCCATCCAAGTGAAAAAGTAAGAATAGGTTATAGTCACACCTTCTTAAATACCCTGGGTTACTTAGTTACCTGGATGATGATTACATGTCTACATGAGTGTCAGACCTGGTTGCAGAATGCAGGAGCAAGATGAGAGGAACGTCACCGCCCATTTTAAATGAAACATTTCACAACAAACGAAACCCAAGGCAGGGAAACAGTATTTTCCCACAGTGCTGCTTTTGGCTTTAATACACAGTTTGGAATGAATTACAGTGGACATGATTAGGCATGAAGAACAACTTTATGCCATAATGAAAGCTCTTTTGGGAATCAGAAAAGGGTCAATAAAAATTAAAAGAAAATGAAAACCCGTTTCAAATTCTAGGTTTATGGCCTGATTCAAAACCCACTGCAGTTAGTGGAAAGACTCCAAGTGACTTCAGTGGGCTTTGTATCAGATTCTTAGTGAACATGTAAGAATAACTGAGCCTGCTAGTATTTAAGAATGTGTAAAACACAATCCCATGTTTTCATCAATGAATAAGAACTCATATGGCCTTGGGATGAAGCTGAAAGATGTCTTAAAAAAAAAGGCAGACATGCTCCTAAAAATGTGTCCTTTTGTATTAATTGTCATTATAGTCTAAATTCAGGTTTAATTCAGATTTGTTAGCGGCCATTTTTGTCACATCTATACAATGCAAATCTCAGTAGAAAATAGTAACTTATTACAAAAAATATTATTGGAATGAAAATGTTTGGAGTTCTGACTGCAAGAAATAATCTTAGGAATAGATAATATAGAAATAGCACATGCTAAAACACACTAGCTTGTAAAAAAAAATTGCTCCTGACAGCGAAATATACTACAGTAAGGACATGAAAATTAGTCTTCCTTTAAGTAGTACATGGCATGTAGAGGAAAAGGACCACTAAACTTAAAATTTTCAGACAAAGCAAAGAACTTGAAAGTGCTTTTGTCTCTTAGGCTACACAAGAGAATATCCTCAAACTCTGCAGAACAGGAGCAGAGAGAGAGACAGACAAATGGTCAATTTAAGATTAAACAGGACTGACATGAATTACATTTTTGGAGACTTCAGTGTGAACTATTAGACCCTCTGTGTCAGTGGAGTAAGGTGCAAAATTATTGTGTGAAGATACTTGTTTAAAAACATACGTAATGAATATTAGATACCAAGATGTGTCATTAAATCTTCATTTTTAGGGCAGTTGGTTTTTATTTTGTTTTTGTTTTTTCTCATTTCAACTCATGGAAGGTATCAGGCTGATACTGCTTCCATCTAAGAGTTATGGAGTAGATGTGTTGAAAAAGCAGTCCTATAATCAATGTACTTAGAGTCAAATCCTGCTTCGTCACTCAGGCAATTTGATTTACAAATAGGCCTACTCACGCAAGCAATGCAAGCAGGCTTTGAATCTTTAAAAAAACAGTGAGCTTTCTTGTGCAGATGTGGAGGTGTCATGGATCCTCCGGGTATTGTAACTTTTGGCCTTGGTAATTTCCTTCAATATGAGATAATATCCTCTGATTGTCAATAATGTAGGGTTGAAGTTATTGTGTGTGTTATCTTTGAAGAATTTAAACTAAATGTAAACATCATCCCTTAGATTTCCTCAACAGCAGGAGAGTATATACTCTAACCAGATGAATCTTCAACTGAAAACTCCCTTAATTGTGTTATATTTAATATATGATCTCTGGAAACCAGATACAAAAATCTGTTCTGTTAATAAATTGTATACTTCCATATTCTTAAAAGTAACAAATTACATATGGTCAAAGAATTTCCTATTTAATTTGATTTTAAAAGCATAATTTAATTGTGAATTGAAGTATTTTTTCCAGACCAAAGGAATTAAGAATGACAGTCCTTTTAGCACTAGAGATATCTGGTAATTCAATATATTTCTTCTATCCTGAAGCCAGTATTTGGCTTGTCAAAAACTGGAGTTTCTATTCTTATTGTCATTTAAGGGACCAGTCCTGCATTTAGTTACATAGACAGTCTTCCATGACACAACTAATTTACATGCAGGACAGGAGCAGAAAATACTCTTCTCAACAATTATACTAAGAGCTGGGATCTGATTGTGATCTCACTTCCACAATTGTGTACGTGATGAGCTCCTCCACTGAAGTTACACCACTGTAAGATCAGAATAAGACCTTAAGACTCGTATGCAAGAGCTACATTTTCCGTGCTTAGGATACAAGGACAACTGCTTACTTGCTCAGTTATAGTCTCATCTGCCTCAGTGAATTGCCACTCCTTTTTTTCTTACATAACTAACCCCATAACGATGTTGTCTATCTTGAAGATGAGAAACTCATGCCAGAAAATTACATAACATGTGATGTCAATAGAAATGCATAATAAAAAGAAAGAACTAAGTGAATTCTAGATTATGGCCCCAATCTTCAGCTAGGGTTGCCAACTTTGTAATATATAAAAAACGGACTCTCCAGCAGGAGTGTTGGAACCTTCCCTGCCCCGCCTTGTCCCCCTGCAGCCTTGCCTCTGTCCCACCCTTTCCTCCTGAGGACCCACCTCATTTCGCTTCTCTTTCCCCCTCCCCCCGTCGCTCGTTGCTCTTCTCCTCTCTTCCCCCCTCTCCTGCGTGGGTCAGGAGGGACTTGCCTGCAGAGCCGGGGCTGGGAGCTACAGCTTCCTGACACAGGTAGGAGGCGGCCCTGGGTGAGTAGGGGCTGGCGCGGGTGATGATTCGGTGCCTCCCTACCTGCAGTAACCAGACTTTGGGTGTCTGGTCAGTAGATCTGACCGGACACTGTCGGGTCCCCTTTTTGACCAGACTTTCCGATCAACAACCGGACACCTCGACACCCTATCTTCAGCGCTTGCCAAAGAGCACTTGGCACAACTCACTGCAGGGAGGGTGGGTGAGACACAAAGGTGGCTTAAAATGACCCCGCACACATTTCCACACTTTGATCTATGGCAGCTGGGGCTCACTGGGGCACAGAGATGACCAAGACATGCCCCTTGTTTACCCAACTACACCCTTGTGCCCACCTCGGGGAGCAGGTTTGGTGAAGGAGCCATTAGCGCAATTGCCCTTTAGCCAATGACCCCCGTATTGTTCCAGGTCTGGATCAGCCAATGACGCAATGCAGAGCTGATGTGGGGCCGGGTATGGGCCTCGTGTGCCAGAGATCTCGCAATGCCTAAGAGTAAAGGCCACTTACCTAAGTGCCTAAACATGGATTTGATTTTTTAAGAGACTCTGAGTACCCAGCAGCCCCTTATTTTTTAAAATCTCAGTCAATGTTACTTTGTTCTTACAACAATAGAGGGCAGCTTGTTTTGTTTTTTTCCCCCCACAAAACAATTAGAGACAGACATTCTGTGATGCTGAAAGCAGGCACCAGACCGAGAAATCACTGAGCTAACTTTACACTCAGGCTTTGAAAAGCTGCACAGAGTATAATGAAGTAGTAACTAAATAAGTGAAGAAATAAGCTTTACAAATCAAGTAGGAGAGGAAGGATGGTCTTGTGGTTAAGGAACCAAACTAGGCCGCAGGAGATCTGAGTTGAAGTCCTGGCTTCCCCACCAGGCTCCCTGTGTGGCCTTGTGCAAGTTACTCAGTCTCTCTGGGCCTCTGGTCTCCTTCTGTAAAATGGGGATAACAGTAAGAGTGCCTTTCTCTGGCTTGTCTAACAAGGGCAGGGGCTGCATCTTACAATGTGTGTGAGGGTACGTAATAAAAAGGGGCCCAATCTCAGTTGAGGACTGTTGGCGTTACTATAATACAAAACCAGTTATAATAAACGAAAAGAAAAAGGAACTGGGGATTTTGTTAAGTAAAACACATGGCACCTACTAAAATGATTAAGCTTCAGCTGCAACTGCAACTAGTAGCTCTGCTCTGTAGGGGCCAATCCCTTACTAGTGATGAGTACTTGTGACGTCCATTTGGCTCCAAGTGAACCATGCCCATAATTGGCATCCTTGATATCAGCTGCACTGCAAAAAAATAGCTAACAAAATACATGGGTGGTATCTTTGAGCCTTGCAGTTCTGTTATCTGAATTCTACAATACTCTATAATGCTCACAATGATATTGATAAGACCCATCACCCTGTATTAAAAATAAAATCAATGTCCAACTTAAATACAGGAAACAGGCCACCAGAGACATCCGCTGTATCTGAATCAGAGAGGAATCAAGAAATAAATAGAGGGCCCCAAAGAAACTTGTGAGAACAAAACTGAACAACACCCAGGTTCCTAAGCAGGTCAGCCAGCCCATCTAAAATCAGTGGAGGAGTCATTGTTGCAGTGATAAGAACTGGCCCTTGCTAAAGACGGGGGTCACACCCCTCCATATGTACCTGGATATTAGAATGAAAAGGCTGGAAAACACCCTAATCTACAGTTCTCATATTGCAAAACAAAATGATCTCAGCTATTCTGCATATGAATTGCTCTCAACAGCAGTACAGGGCAGACATTGTCAGAAAACCTGTTCACCATCTCCAGGAAAATTCAGAATGGACATGCTTGAACAGGACTAAGGAAATTTCGCTTTCATGCTTCTGGCCCATATATATGTGAAGAGAAGTTTGTGACTCATTCTGAGGCCATGAACACATCCTGGTAATAATAGCAATGCCATACCATTCCCCACAACTCTGCTTTCTATTTAAACAAATGGCCCAGATGATCAATATACCACATTCAGATACATATATCTGCCCTTCTATGCACTGACTGATGATAGCCTAATTCTCCATGTGCTCAGCTTTGCTCTTCATCACACTTCCAGTGTACAACAGTGACACTTATACAAGAACTGTTCAGCATTTCAGCATGTTGCATGCTATGTTGTTATACAGCCAGCTTCACCAACAGGCATACATAGCCAGTGTTCCATATATTGTCTATAAGAAGCAATTCCAATACATAACACCATTTGGGCAGTTTTACATGCAGATTGCAGATCATAATGTAATCTCAACTGGACCTGCCATCCTGAACAGTGCTCTAGGGCAGCTAGTCATGCACAGCAGACAGCAGCAAGTACATATCAAATTGTGTGACTCAGAGTATGTATAACAATGCCTATCAGCCACAATCACTGATGAATGCAGCCCAATTGGCTCTGAAAAATAGCCAATTTAGTCTTCATGTTTATATGACAACCACCTGTACCCTGCATTAAAAGTGATAAAAGGAAATACTTCTTTACATAATTTATAATTAACCCGTGGAACTCATTGCTACAAGATACAATTGTAGTCAAGAGCTTAGTAGGATTGTGCAAAGGATTAGGTATTTGCATGAATAATGAGCTCATTTCAGTTAGCTCGGAAAGAATAAAAACATATAAGGTATGCAAACTGTCTTGGTTCATCAACAAAGCCATTAGCTGACAAAGATTAGGAAGATACTTCCCCTTTGGGCATCTTTCCATAATAATCTCAATATGGTTTTTCTTGCACCTTCCTATGTAGCATTGGGTACTGGCCACCAGTTGGTTGGATGTTATGTCTGAATGATACATCTGGGTGGTGTAGCTGGGAAAAATAATGCTGCTGCATCAAAGGTGGTTTTGTGATAGGTTGTGGAAAACATGAGCAATGCATTATGTGCATATTGGCATGGATAGGCCCCACAATACAGGTGTGTTTTTACAATCTAACCCTCACAATTTTTATTAGGGTTTATTACGTCAGTGGTTCTCAACCTTTCCAGGTTACTGTATCTCTTTCAGGAGGCTGATCTGTCTTGCATACCCAAAGTTTCACCTCACTTAAAAGCTACTTGCTTCCAAAATCAGATATAAAAATGCAAAAGTGTCACAGCACACTATTACTGAAAAATTGCTTGCTTTCTGATTTTGTCTGTATGAAATTTTCATTTATACTGGTGCTTTTTATGTAGCTTGTTGTAAATCTAGGCAAATATCTAGATGAGCTGATGTACCCCCTGGAAGACTTCTGCATACCCCAGAGGTATGCATATCCCTGGGTGAGAACCACTGTATCACGACTGGTCACACGCGCACATTCTGGCTCAGACTGCCGCCAAGAGTGTCTGATTAATATGCCATCACCTGTTACCTCCACAGCATGGAGCCTTTCAGCCAATTGTTCAGAAAAGAGCCCATAATGACCTCTGGCACCTGCCTCCATCCACAGCTTCTCCTTATACAAACCGAAACAGACTCACACCTGAGCAGCCAACCTCCCAATACACAGGTGCTACATTGTTCACGTTTTCCACAACCACCCATAAAATCTCTACGCTGTAGCTATTATTTTCCCCAGCTACACCGCCCACAGATGTATATCAATCACCGCACCCTGCAAAAGAACTCTCAATGGGGACCTCAGTTCTGCTAACATCACAGCTGGCCAGGCTCGCCTGCACAAAACTGACTGCAAAACTTTCATATTATCCATGGCCAATTAGTTGATTCAGCCAAGGAATTCTAATGTAGTGGAGGTACCAACGCAGCCCCAGCACCAGATTTCTTTGGAATGTCAAACAAAACTGGATAGTTATTCCACAAGTAACATTTAATATACACACATCCCTCTTGCAGGGACACAAAAGCTACTTTGAACAGCAGCACAAACCAGCCCCCACAAAGCTACTATAAATCACTGACAGCTACATTACATAGGAACTACATGTTAAGTGTGCAACATCATTGCAAATTATAGCTGCATAGTACCATGGTGTGTGTGCTATCCCATCCCATCTCCTAGAACTGGAAGGGACCCTGAAAGGTCATCAAGTCCAGCCCCCTGCCTTCACTAGCAGGACCAAGTACTGATTTTGCCCCAGATCCCTAAGTGGCCCCTCTCAAGGATTGAACTCACAACCCTGGGTTGAGCAAGCCAATGCTCAAACCACTGAACTATCCCTCCTCCTCCCCATTTAATACTTAGTATGTAAATAGTAAAGCTGTTGGAAAATAGTCAGCAATACTAAAATTCAGCAAAGAACAGAAAAAATAATTGCAGTGTTTGTCTCACCAGCATTATTAACCAGCCAGTTTTGAAAACCTGCAAGGTTACTGCATTACTCACTCTCTGAGTCTGGGCTCTAATGATGTAATGCTGCTACTGGAATTGTTTTTGCTAACGAATTCTGTGAGTGGAGTTCTGTGAATCTTATTCTGGATTGGTCTTGATAGTTTAGGGAACAGCCCAATTCTCCTGCTTGGGCAGCTGAATTACACTTCTTAGTCATTAGCTGTTTTTAATTTTTCTTTCTAATTTGCCTTTGTCCATTTTAATACTCGGATTGAGTGTTCTGTTGCATGTGATGGTGCTATACAGCCAGTTTCACTGATGCAACAACTACATAAAGTGGTCATCATTGGACATTAACTAATGCCTTAGTACAACCACACTGGGATTCAGAACCCTCTTAGAGCCCTCGTTCAGTGTTCTCTGGTCAAACCATCTGTTTCAACAAGAGCTACTTTTTGACCGTGTGTATGTCTGACTGTGATGTTGCATACAACACTGTACCCGTGCCAGTGTTTAAAAGATAAAAGCAGAGGACTACAGTAGCTTGAGCTCTATTCCTATTTCTGCCACTGATTCACTGGGTGACTTTGGACAAGTCACTTAACCAGTATGAGCCCGTTTCCTTATCTGTAATACAGGGATAGTAATACTTGCCCACCTTTCTAAATGGCTTTGAGATTCTCAAATGAAAGGGGCAATGCAAGTTCAAAGCACTATTATTAATGTACTGCCAAGGGCGGCTCTAGGCACCAGTGCACCAAGCGCGTGCCTGGGGCAGCAAGCTGCGGGGGGCGGCCTGCCGGTCACCGTAAGCGCGGCACTCAGGTTGCCTTCGGCGGCATGCCTGCGGGAGGTCCACCGGTCCCACAGTTTCGGTGGCAATTCAGCGGCGGGTACGCCGAAGGCGTGGGACCGGTGGACCTCCAGCAGGCATGCCGCCGAATCCGCATTACCAACAGACCTCCCGCAGGCATGCCACTGAAAGCCGCCTGACTGCCATGCTTGGGGCAGCAAAATACAGAGAGCCGCCCCTGTGTACTGCAAGCAACTTTAACTACATAATGTGCATGGTAGTGGCAGCGTGTTAATCAGCACAGACTAGCATATTGCTGGCACCTCCTGGCTGTGTAAATTGTGTTCCCCCAATGCAAGTGGAACACAAATATGCTGATACAGTTTCTGCATGTTCATGGTGGTAGCCATGCTGTGCAGAATCACTCCCTTTAGACTGAATGGCTCCGAGGCTAGCGCAATGGACTGGGAGCAAGAAGAGCTGGGTTGTACTTTTGGCTCTGCCATTGATTTGGCAAGTCATTAAACCTCTGTGTGTCCATCTGTAAAATGGAGACATATTAACAATGGGGTGGGGGGAACATTTGCCCACCTCTGCAAAGTGTTTTGAGCTCTATAGTTTAAAAGGAATCAGTACTGTTAATCATATCAGATTTTAAATTATATTTGCAGAATCAGAAAAATTGTACCTGTGCTCTCTTTATTAGCATAGGCTACCTCAAGTAGTAGAAATTAATAATCAAGTTCCTGATGATAGTTAAATGTTTTTCTAATTATTTTTGCTGGATAATGCCATAACTACTTCTTTGCAGTGTTGTTGTAGCCCTGTTGGTCCCAGGATATGAAAGAGACAAGGTGGGCGAGGTAATATTTTATTGGAGACATAAATGGTTTGAAGCAGGCAATTAAGGGGAGCAGGCAGTTTGGTGCGTTACAAACTGTAGTAATAAGCCATAAAACCAGTGTCCCTGTCCAGTCCATGGTTTTTGGCGTCTAGTACAGTTATGAACATAAATTCCCAAGCTTGCCTTCTGAAGATGTTATGCAGGTTTCCTTTGAGGACAAATATTGAAAAATCAGTTACGAAGTGATTGCTTTGTGAAAAGTGTGTGCCCACAGATAATATGGGGTTTTTGTCTTTTTCTGTGTGAGTTCATTCAAGAGCGTAGTGATTGTCTGGTTTCACCCACGTAAGTTGTTATTGGGGCATTGATGGACTGGATGAGGTACACCACTATGTGCTTGCTATCCTTAACTGCCCACTTGAGTGTTGTGTGCAGGGAAAGTGCTGGGAATTTGAAACATGGTAGCCACCTCCTTCTCCCACTTTCTTAAAACTCATGGAATTTATGGCCATTCCTACCTCCAATGCAGTCGTGGAAAGAATATTTTATTTGTGTTAACAGACTTGGACAGATTGGAGAAAACTGCTAAATATTGATTCCATTAAGACTGAGTTTCAAATTAAAGTTAATTTCAATTGTACAAGTAGCATTTTATGAACTGATTTAAAAAAACAGAGGTATTGACATTTTAAAACTGATAAGTACCATTTTAAACATTAAATTGAAGTTTATGATAATTGCATTCTATACTGAAGGGCAGCAGAAACGTACACTTGAGAGAAAAATACATGATATGTTAATGGAAATGGTGTTTCCCTAAAATGTCTCTTAAAATAAAGCATTGTTCCTTACTTTTCATGTACTTTTCCCTTATTTCCATGCAACAAAGGTGGTCACTCTAGACAGGAAACCAATTCTTAGGGCACTTTGGGCAATTCATTTTCCCTCTCCTTTAGTTTATATTCTCTTTCAATTTCTAAAGCACCTGTCAAAGTGTCAAGGCACAAAACAAGATAATCAAAAATGAGCTACTGTGGTCCAGGAATGGACTTTATTTAAAAAAAAACAACTCCCTTGTTTGGGTGAGTGTAACTCTTAGAGCTCTTTAATTAGTTTTCCACAAATATGCTGCAATAGTCATCTGACATTTGCTGTTAATATTTTTGCCATTGTTAACTAGAATAATCATAGAAAGTGAACACAGGCAGAGGGAATTCATTTAAAACTTCAAACCAAAGTTCACACAAATTTTAACTGAAGCATTTACCCCCTCTGCTTGCTACCGATTCCCCAAGCAGGCTTCAAAGAGATGATTAAAGTAAGCCAGATTAGACTCTAGGAAAACATCCTCATATCAATTTTTAATACACTTAAAATTTACATGCAGTGCTTGTACACTGTCTTTGGAGAATGAGACCCTTGATATAAATTGTGCAGTGTTTAATATCTCAGAGTCCTTTGGTAGAAACAAAACATGAAGTTGATCTGAAACTGGCTGATGGCTGATCAGTCAGCACTGGGATAAAGAACATAGATCAGCAAGGCTACTGCTCTGTTGGGCTGCAGGTTTTCATGGCCTGTCCAGAGGATACTGAAATGAAAGGCTCTTAAATAAGCAGTGAATCCTTCTGATGTTCTGCCAGACATTCCGAAGGACTTACATTACTTACATCCTGCACGTGTCCTTGAGGCTGCATGAACCCACCCATTACTCCAAAGGAGCACAAGAGGTCCCCAGGGTCTGCTGCAGTAGCAAGGGCAGGAATGATCATGTGGTACAGCCGTTTGCTTGGGCGAGGCAGTTCAGGTGACTGGGAGATAGTGAGAAACTGGATCCTCTATTCTAGAAAACAAATACAAACCCTTACTAATAGAATAGACCCCCTGGGATTGCCAAACACGATTCATCTGGCTGGACAAGAACCACGCAGCCTAAAGTAAACATGTACGATAGTTACTAGCTTTTCAAATTGTTGGCCAGCTAGCCCACTGACTGACATCACACATGGCATCACCAACATGTACCAAAAGCTGTGCAGCAGCGAGAGCAGCTCACAAAAGCTATTCCTATGCAAGACGTGGAGCACCCAAGTAGGCTCTTGGATATAGGCAGATGAGACTATACCCAAACAAGCCCACCCATGCACTGCTGAGGAAGATAGCCTGAGAAATGATCATACTAACTACAGTGAGCTGCTCTCAAATGGCAGCATTTTAATAGTGACCACTGTAGCAACTGTTTGGGCCTAGCATCATGCCACCGAAGTGTGGGGTCCGTGTCTGGGCCTCATCACTGAAGTCCGTGAAGGTCTGTGGCGCTCCTGCTCCCCACTAGGGGTAAGTTTGGCCTGGGGATACAGTCAGGAAAAAGTCACACATAGAACAGTTAGTGCCAATGTAGTCGATTCAAGAAAAATATACAAGAAGTATCATGCCAAGAAACAGGTGTATTACAAATGCCCTGGAGCTCACAGATTCAGTCTTGGGGTAAAATTTTCAGAAGTGCCTAAGTCACTTAGGGACTCAAGTCCCATTTTCAAAAGTGACTTAAGCACTTAGAAGCCTAAGACTTCTTGAAAGTTAACAGGTGTGAGGTTCCTATGTGCCCAAATCACTTCTTAAAATGAAACTTAGACTCATAAGTCACTTAGACACTTTGAAAATATTGCTCTTAGTCTCTATTTTTTTTATTTTTAACATGATAAAATTGACCATTTTCTAATATACAAGCAAGAGTTCAATCCAACCATTAAAAGCCAAATGGTTCTTTAATTATAATTCTTTAATTCTAGTGTGATAGGTAAGGAAGGTGGGGTGGAATAGGGCAGGGGCAGGGGAATGTGGGAGTGAGGGGAGGGGCGTGGGGCACTGGGGGAGGGGGATGAGATGGGGAATGGGAATCGTGGGGAAAAGCAGGAGCCTGGCATGCGGCATCCCCTCAGCAGCAGCTGGGGCTCCCCTGTTAAGCGGGCTCATTGAACTGGAGCCAAAAATCAGACACCTGGCAACACTACCTGGACCCCCTTCCGCCCCCCGCAACTGACCCCCAACCATCTTCACTTGGATCCCCTGCAGAGTTCCATTCCCCCTGCACCTGGAACCCCCCAATGAGCTCCTGTGCATCCAGATCTCCCACTGAGCCGTCCGCACCCAGATTGCCCCACACAAAAACCTCTCACCCCACACCTGGATCCACCCACACTAATCCCCTCCACACTTGGATCCTGCAGGACTGAGCCTGCCCACCCACATCTGGTGCAGAGGGGAAGGGCCCCCGGGTGTTTCTCGGGCAGGCCCGGCCCTTGCACTGTGTCAAGGTCAGGTGCAGTCTCACTGCCGAGTCCCTGTACCGCTGGGGGCTTCAGGGTGATCTCTCACCTCAATGCAACCAGTGGCCTGTGCATCCCCACTGCCATACTGGAGCCACATTTATTTATTGACAAATAAAATATGCAGAATTTTAAAATATCGTGTGCAGAATTTTTATTTTTTTGGCACAGAATTCCCTCAGGAGTATATAGGGCATGAAAGGTACTTTAGACGGCAAATTCTCGAAAACAAAATATATGAAATAACCTCCATTTCTCAATAGTTTTGGCAATATTCACATATATTTATAATTCATAATCCCCCAATTATTAATTTCTGAACTGCCACTTCTAATCTTTACTTCTGTTTAATGCATATTACTTAATGTGATGTGGCTTAGCCATTTTGCTAGAAAAAGAACAAGATATTTCTATATATGTTATCTAGATATAACACTTACAATCTATTATGGTTCTGCTCATGTTCCAAAGACTTTTTATAATACAAATTCAAATGAAAATGTACACTCTAAAAATATAAAATTTGAATCTATCACAAATGTATAACAATTTTTCTTGGCTGTGGGGGATAAAATAAAATTTGAAAATAAGAAATGTTTCAATTCCATATCCATTGTTACTTATAGCTAGTATTAACTGGCCAAAAATAAATTAGCAAAGGCTAATTCATTTTCACTGCCCAAGAAATGATCCAAGGAAGAATGTATGTAGTTGTTTATGTAGGAGAGTATTGAAAAATCTACATGGGTCCCATTGTTCTACTTGTTAAAAGCTGACTGGGCATGTCATTACGGTGACCTGCTGACCATGGCCGTTTATGCTATTAACAGTAAGTGTCAGGCAAGTCTGAGCTTGAAGCATCAAACTCTGTTTATAAACAATTTATCATGCTAACTTGGTATAAAGCCAAAGAAATACCTATGAAGATTTGTTTATTTGTTTTTTAAACACTGCAACTCATTTCACAGTCTGATCTAACTTAATAAGAAAATATATATTAAGAAATGTAAGTTTAGGATACTGTATGGCAAAGCACTCTAACTGCCTTTTAGAGAGTTTTCATGCAGACTAAAACATGTTATGTTTGGAAAAAATGTCTCACTTGTAAAGTAAATCCACAGCCACCTGGTTCCAGTCCTATGCCAAAGCCCATATAGTCGCTGTTGATGAAAAAAGAGTCATTGCCTTGAGCATGGACCACAGTGAAGTAAACTGTGTCACTTCCTACAGGTAGCAAGTTTCCTTTATTATATTTGTCACTGGCTATAAAACAGGGAAAATAAAAACCATTAGTGTGCATCAAAAATCACTATTTTATGGCCCAATTTAAATTGCATCATAAGGGTCTCATGTTGCTCATCTTACTCCTACAAGTAATCTTAGTTGAAGTCAATGGGAATATTCCTATAAGTATGACGAGCAGCATTTGGCCCTGAATTTTTTGGTGTGGGTTTTGTTTATTAAAACAAAGGGCCAGATTCAGGTCTCTGCTAGTATAATCTGGATTAACTCCAAAACCAATAGAGTATAACGAAGATTAGAATCTGCCCCAAAAGGTTTCAGAGTAGCAGCCGTGTTAGTCTGTATCCGCAAAAAGAACAGGAGTACTTGTGGCACCTTAGAGACTAAGCTTATGCTCTAATAAATGTGTTAGTCTCTAAGGTGCCACAAGTACTCCTGTTCTTTTTGCCCCAAACGGGACATCATGTAAAATTCAACTGACATCATTGAAAGATAAGGCCCAGGAAGGATCCAAAGTCTGTAGTCCTTTTATGACCTAGGTAAGGCCTAGATCAATAAGTGGTTTCTATTGTATATCCCATGTTTGGTTAAGTACAAATATGGCACTGCCAACAAATTTAAGTAAACACTCTTATCTAAAGTACACAAAAGCAGGTTAGCACGCGTTGGTACTTTAAAAAAAAATCACATTTAGAAATACCCTATTTTAGTCACTGGTCTCTTGAATGTTGAGACCCGTCATAAGTCTTTCACGCAGTTCATGCAGTTCATTACTTTAAGAAATATATTAAAAATATCCTTTAAAACCACCCTCAAACCCCTGGCTTCGCTATCAACTAATGGAATTATTTCTCAGACATTTCAACTAGAAAGAGGGACATGACAGGGTTGTCCCCTCATCCCTCTTTTTTAATGTCTCACTTGAACCACTGGCAATAGACATATGTCAGCGATTGAAGATGTAACTATAAAGAGGAAAAAAATACAAAATCGGTTTATAGGCTGATGACATTTTGGTACTATTGAAGAATCCATCCTCATCAATCCCATCATTATTGAATCTAGTTGATATTTTTAGAAAGATCTCTGGTTTTTGCATGAACTGGAATAAATCACAAGCAATGAAAATATCCAAAAGACCAGCTCCTTCTCAGTTTCAGCATTTTCTATTTCAAATATACAAGGAAATATGCAAGGTGCTACTATCTATGCTAATCATCCCAAAATAGATTTGCAACACACAGCGAATGTTGGAGATGCAAACAGTCACATGCCAACCATTCACACATCCTCTATACCTGTCATAAAATGCATGTGGCCTGGAACACAATATTCAGTGCTTTCTCAAAAACTTAAAGCATTGTTAATCTTTCCTTCCCCAAGCTTGTGTATTTTACGGGTGCTGGATGAGTTGGTATTACATTGCAATAACTATTTTAATGGCCAAAAGAGTTATTCTGAGAAAATGAAAATCTGAAATTCCTCCCTCATACACAGACTGGCTTAGTGAGCTCTCTACTACTGCGTTAATGGAAAAAATGACTGTTGAATAGAAACATCTGGAAAAAATAGGAGGATGTCTGTTCACACATTGCATACTTTTGCAGTTTATTATATATTAGTCCCTGATACTCATAGGTTATGTTCTCACTTATTTATACTTTTAGTCACTTTAATAATTGATGCCTGCATGACCTCTATGCGTTCTGCGGGGGAAGAAGGGGAGATTGTTCAGTTTTGTTCTGTTTTTTCCAGGCTTTACAAATAATGAACACTGAATTTTGTTTTTGTATGGTATTTCCATCCTGCACATGTATTTATATATGTTTTATTTTGTGTTTATATTTTATATAAAAACAATAGAAATAAAGTTTAAAAACCCCACCCTAAATGTCTATGCTTAAAAGGGCACTGTAGAGTTTGACCAAAATGTAAACATCTCCAGCCTCCAATGTGTTATTCCTTCCCTCCTGATACTAATAAAACTATTAGCCATACACATACATACAAGAACAGTGTTAAAACTCCAGCTGGTAAGCTGGATAAGCCACCAGCGATGTGCTCAGGGAGCCAGATTTGTTGCAGGTTTCAGAGTGGTGGCCGTGTTAGTCTGTATCGGCAAAAACAACAAGGAGTCCTTGTGGCACCTGTGAGACTAACAAATTTATTTGGGCATAAGCTTTCATGGGCTATAACTCACTTCATCAGATGCATGGAGTGAAAAATACAGTAGCAGGTATAAATATACAGCACATGAAAAGATGGGAGTTGCCTTACTAAGTAGGGGAGTCAGTGCTATTGAGGCCAATTCAATCGGGGGGGATGTGGCCCATTCCCAGCAGTTGACAAGAAGGTGTGAGTATCAGAGGGAAAATTACTTTTTGTAGTGACCCAGCCACTCCCAGTCTTTATTCAGGCCTAATTTGTTGCAGTGGCTTATGCACTGCATGTCACACTGTCTCTTGTTTAGTCCCCTGCCACCTTTATTCTATACTGGCTGGGATGGGACTAACCAAGAATAGATTTTATCCCACTCTGTCAGAGCAACAAAGTCAGAGCCCGGGAGTCTGTTTTGCGGAGGATTAGGAGTTTGAGTATTGCAGTCCTTCTTTTGGAGAGCTGGCAGATTTTTCAGTATCAGGGGCAGTGGTGTATTTACATATGCAGCAGATAGGCCAGTGCCCTGGACACCAGCACTTGAGAGACAAAGAGAAGGGTTGCACAGATGATTTTTCATACCTTGTGTGTTTCACTATGGCCTTCTGGATGGCTCTCTGATCACAGAGATCGAGATACAGGGCCTTTTCTTAAATAGAGCAGGCCAGGGAAAACATTCTTAATTTGGACCCTGAACAAGAGAGAAGATCAATCATCATTGGGTGACTTTTACATTAAATTGTTTCAGGGATTCATTTTGAATCAAACTTTGAGTCAAACTTATTTTAAGATATCTGGGCTACTCTCCACTTTTTACACGCTATATATAGTGCATATTTTAAATAAAATCCACTCCTTGATTGTAATAAGCCATTATTGCCCTAAATAAAAGAGAAAACTGCCACTTTTATCTATTCATATGTTGAATCATGTTTGATAGTTTCCTATCACATCTCATTTTATCTTTTAGATACAACCTGGGCTAACGACGTAACACAAACAATAAACTCTTTGTACTTTACACTGAACAGTTTAACACAGGGACAGATTAGGGTTAGAATAAAAGGATATTCAGACCACAGCATCTGCAGAAATAAACTAAAAACTCCAACAACTCTTATAAATAGAGCCTACTTAATACTATAGAATGGACTTTTCTTTCTTACCAAGATCAGAAATGTACTTACACTACTAATCCACAAAAGCAAGCGAAGGAAGAAGCCTTACCTCTGTAAATTAACTACCCCCAAGCATCCTTTAGCATACGTTTTAGAAAGAAGTTCTTTTGTAGGTACTGGAGCTTTGTCATGGTCAGCACAGAACCAGAAAGTAATAGAGAAGCTGAGTTTCAAGGCTTCAATCAGCACATGTAAATAGTCAGCAGTGTTATGGCCCATGTCTAAAAATGGCAACAAAAAAGACAAACATTTTAGTTTATTTTTAACCTTTCAGTGTTTTTTCAGGCTATAATGACATTGTTTACCTTGCTGTTATTGGACGACATTCATTACTGAATTGATTTCAATGGAGTATTACCAGCGATGGATTTGATCAATTCTTTCCAAGGATACTAGGGAAATAATCATTCATTTTGGACTTAAGAATTCTTCAGAATTTGGCATATAGTCTTCAGGGGTATTAGGTGTTTTATACCACTTGACCCTATCTGAACAACTAGTATCAAGCTATTTATAAAATATCACACTATTTTTGAAGTTATACAGGGCCTCTCTTCAAAGTTGATAGTGTAATTTGCTAAATTTTCAAATTTATATTAAATGTTCAAAAACATAAATCTCAGAGAGGCTGTTTCATACTAGAAAACTTCCCAGTCGAAGTCCCACTGTACTCTGTTTACTATATTGTGATATTTAGTAGAGAATTATCCGCTGTAGAGTGGAGTCATGTCTAGTAACAATTTTATTTCCCCTTCTGCTTGGCTTTGAGGAAAATTTTCTTCAGCGTTGAAAAAGAACATTAACATGTCTGGAAATCTTCCTTTTGTGTCTGCTTAAATCATCCTTAAAGGAAAATTTTACAGACACAGAAAAATTCTTTCCATTGGACATAACTCAGACCTTTAATATTAAAATTGTCTAAAATGTGCAGGGCTATCAAAGCTGTGATTCCTTGTCCGTTTGGAGGGATTTCCCAAACATTCATATTCTGGAATAGCAAGACACATTATTATTCCCCCCTTTTAAAAAAATACTTTCTAAAGGTTTCCCGAATATTATGACATATGTATATACCAACAATGATGTAATAAAACTGGCATTTCTTTAAGGCAAAGAGAAACCAGGTAACATTAAGGTGGTATAGCTTTTCTTTCACTCAACCTTGTATAACAACAGTATGGAACCCCTATAAAACAGTACACTATTCTACATCAATGGCCCAAACCATTGTCATTATACTAGTGTAAGCAATGTTGTTTTCCCCTTTTATTGTTGCCATAAAGGATGAAATGCTGGTCCTCTGCCTGGGAGCGGATTTTGCCCATAAACTAAATACAGACATTGGCTTTGTAAAACACTTTGAGAATTCCCATGTATAGTCTTTCCTAAATATACGTTGGCTCAATGGAGTATGTGGGAAAACGGGATCCTATGTTTCAAATATCATAAATAAAACTTATTACTTTGAGTGCTTATGCAAAGTTGTCCTCGTAACATTGAACTTATCCAATTCAGCTTGTTAAATCTAATGTTAAAACCATTAAGTTCTATATCTGCTTCAAAAGGTTAAATACCTATTTATCTGAAAAGTTTATCAGCATTATCAGCATTAACTGAGTAATATATAGAGTTGTCTGTCTTTGAATATTAAATTATACCCTATAACCCTGTGAGCTTATTTTTAAATTAATAACAAATGAGCCTGCCCTGTGTTCTTTGACAACATCCTCACTTACGTCAATTGGAGTATTCCCTGAGTAAGGACTATACGCAGGGATTGGCAACCTTTGGAACGCGGCTGTCAGGGAAATCTGATGGCGGGCCGGGACAGTTTGTTTAACTGCTGCGTCCGCAGATTCAGCCGATCACAGCTCCCACTGGCCGCAGTTCGCCGTTCCAGGCCAATGGGGGCTGCGGGAAGCAGCGTGGGCCGAGGGATGCCGCTTCCCGCAGCCCCCATTGGCCTGGAACGGCGAACTGCGGCCAGTGGGAGCTGCGATCAGCCGAACCTGTGGATGCCGCAGGTAAACAAACCAGCCCGGCCCACCAGCGGATTTCCCTAATGGGCACCGGCCAAGGGTTGGCGATCCCTGGACTATAGGTTTGGATCTAGACTTGCCAAGTTATTTCAAAATAGCATGCGTAAGTTGCTCTGGGTATGTTCCCTTGTATCTCTATTTAGCAATATTACTCAGTATATAGTGGGTGTGTATCTATGACTAATGATTTTATTAGCAGGTCAGGAAGCACTGACTGTCTTTTGACATACCTTAGTTGTTAGTTGGATGTGCAAGCACAGCGTTTGCCTATGTATGTACTCCATGAATAATGCAAGAATCAACTGTTCATACGGTGAGAATAAAAACGATGCACTCAAAAAATGCTGCTCAGCCATCCTATGATATTGGATTAGTGGGAATATTAAAATATCCAAAATATAATTTCCAAATCCATGTGACATCACACACAGCCAGAGAATACTGCATTTGAAAACACTTAGGGCCCAATCCTGTATTTTTTTATGCACCAACAACTCCTGTGGCACTTAATGGGAGTCTGGGATATGCAAAGAATGCAAGATCAAGCCTAAGAAACCACCAATCCCTACCATTAAAAAAATATTTGTCTTTTGCATTTTCAATGAACATCGTGCTTTGGGAAGGCTCTGCACTGACAGCTCTGGAGACCTGTACTCACAGAGCTGGTAAAAGCACATGCAGTCATAGCATCCCCACACTGCATTACAACTCTGAAAGGACCATCTTTAGAGGTGGGAAAGTAAGTTAGTTTCTGTGCCCATTCAGTAGTTGGCATCTCTGCTGATACTGCCAACATGAGGGCCAGTGCTGTATGAGTTGTGATAGTGGTTTTCAAGGAGAGGAATCCCATCCATTAGGAACTTTGCTCAGGCCGCCCAGGTGGCTGGAATTTAAGTCAGCAAAGTGCAAAAAGGAAATAAGATGCCCATTTTTAACAGGGAAGATAATTAGCCATTGGAACAGATCCCAAGGGCTGTGGTAAGACTCCAAATGATGGAGAATTTAAACCAAGACTGGATGTCTTTCTAGAAAATATGCTCCAGTTCAATCACAACTTGATGGGCGAGATGCAGGAGTCCCATCATGAAATTCTGTGTGTTATGCAGGATGTCAGACTAGGTGATCACTCTGGTCATAAAAATCTATGAGTTTCACGGCATATGAGTTTCATGTAAGTCACTGAACAAAGTTCAGATGACAGTTTTCTACATTGCCTTATTAGTGTCCTCCCAGGACATGGCTGAACTCCCTGCAGCTGCAAAGAACAGGATGTTTTTTTGTCTCCCTTCAGGCTGGGGAGAAAGAGAAATCCGCTTGTGTGACAAGGGAGGAGAGGGAGTCAGATGGAAGGAGGGTGTGAGAAAGAGCATCAAGAAAACTGTTGAGGTAGTAAGGAGGAGAGAGGGTACCTGGATATGGGCTTAAAACGTTTCTGAAATTCCACTCTGGTCAATACTCAGTCTTAGTCCATCTCTTTCTGCAGACGCTCAGAAAGTCCCTTTCCAACCACCCCACAGTTACACATTCCCAGATCCAACCCCTGCTGGAAAAGCAAAGAAGGAGAGAGTCTGATTGTGATCCCATTGTGTAAAGCTATGGAGAATCTTCAGGTCAGCAGTGGGCATAGGGGAAAGGAAGGGTTTTTATTTTGCCAATCTGGCCACCATACAGAGGAGAAGTTGTGGGACAAAGGAAAGAATTCCAAAGATGATTGGCAAGGAAACCTCAGTTCCATTCCAGTCTAGGCTGCATGACAGGAAAGTCCTACTCTGAAGTATGAGGGATGGGGAGGTAGGAGAATATAAAAACAATGAGCAATATATGGTAGCTTCTTGTGGAAAAAGCTCTGAGTGGGGGGAGGGATAAAAGGCCCAGGAAATCACAAGGCTGAATTTTCTCCTAATGCTCCCTTTTCTGGCCTCAGGGTCCAGTTCAGCAAGGTACTTAACAACTTGCCTAATTGTAAGCATGAGAGTAGTTCTATTGATTACAATAGTTCTGGTGCTTAAGTTTAGGCACAGGCTTGTAAGTCCCTTGCTGAACTAATACCTCAAAATTCAGCATATTTTTGGCATTATCAGGGGACTCAGCTCCTAAGTACTTACTCAGTGAGAAGTCAATGGGAGTTTTCCCAAAGTAAAGACTTCAGGAGGTGTACAAATAGGGCCTAGAATTCACAACCTGAATGAGAGAGATTCACTGGCAGGCAGAACACTAGTTTGCTTTCTTTTTAGTATGAATGTTTTCAGATGGATCCCTGCTGAGTGGCAAAGTGCAGCTGCTGGCTACCTCAGCTGTGAATATTAAAATAAACTGCTTAGCTCCTGTAAGTCACATAGAAAGTTGCACTGGACAGCAGATCTACTCAGCTACCCCTCGCTTCCCCCTTCCCTGATAAATACTGCAGCTCAGTGATTTCTTGCTGAATTCCTTGAAAGGCCTGGAGCTTTTTCCCCATGCTGAACAGACTGTCCAGTCTACATTCTATTAAAAATAATTACAATTAAAAGAAATAGTTTCCACTCTTAACTAAAAAAAATTGATTTGCTTTTTAGCCATTCATTAGCTCATCATATTCACATTTACAAGCTTGAATCAAACTCATGGATCAAAACACTTCAAACCTCAGTGTTCAAAATCCAGATCTGAATCAAAATTTTACAGCTTGAGTCCATCTTTAATTTGTAATTAATTCATTAGCTAATTGCTAAGAAACAAACAAAACAGGGCTATGTGTTCTATGTTAGAACTGCACAATTGCAAACACACATTACCCATAACTAGCTGATGTGAACATATATCTAGAATATTTGTATGCCTATATAGCCAGTTAGGCACCTAGGTGGCCTTCTGCACACAAATGGCATATGCATTCACAAGGACAATACTTGAGTTATTAGTGCATGGTGCATATTCGCAGATATAAATTAGGCATGCAAATACATAAGTACACTTCTTCATGCCTAACTTGGTAAACCAAACTCATGATCTCTACCGAGTTCAGAATACTGAACTGTCCAGAATACCTTGAATTTGTGAAAATCAGTTTGACTTCATCAGTGACATGATCTTCTAAATCCATTATTCCTCCATTTTTCTGAACAGTTTCTATAATAGCTTCTGCAACACAACCTTCATAGAATCTTTTCTTGCCAGATTTTGTCAGCTCCTGAAAGAGTTGTAGCATGTAGCCTGGAAACTACAAAACAAAGGACATTCTAGCGAGGCAAGTTTGTCTTGGTCAAAGTTAAATTGGCATCTTCAAGTGGATTAAACTATTTAACTCTACTGGTTATATCATTTGAATTATTTCAGTGATTTACATGGGCCAGATGTGTAAAATCCACTCTGAGAATGATTGTGCATCTGGGAGAACTTTGCTCCAGTTCTGCCTTGTCTTACATCCTATGCAACACATTCAAAGCATTGCATCTCTATTGAAATGGTAGTCTGTCAACAGGGAAGCACTTAGCTTGTTGTCCCTTTTGGTTACTTTAAGCCATCTTTGGTTGAGTTCAGAGCTTTTTGAGCAATATCTGTTGTATCTAGTACTCCCAAAGGGTTAAATTTGTCCTGGCTTACACACTTGCAGAATTCACTAACTCGCATTTGGTAATCCACAATGCTTTCTCTATCCGCCACATCACTAGTTTTGATTAGTGAAGACATGACATATTTGCATTGGCAGCACATAGTGTTACATCAGCAATGTACTTTGCATTATTAATATATAGGCAAGGTATGGGCCCAATCCTACTCCCCCTGACGTCAGTATCGAGAAGAAACTCTCAGTGACTTCAGCTCAACCATGACTGAGCCCCAAGTCAGAAAGTTACATTTCCATTGAATGGTAAGAATGGAGAGACTAAGCCAGGAAGAGAAACTAAGTTTATTAAGCAGAAGAAGCCAAGGTATCACAGATACTAGTGCTTCAGCAGGTAGGGCAAGTAGCTTTGTCTTATAATTATATGTGCATGAATGTGTAATGCATTTATTCAAAGAAGCAAGGGTGTGACAGATACTAAAGAACTAGCATATAGGTCACACAGCAATAACTTAATGTTAAAAATTAAAGGGAATTCCATAGCTATATAAGTAAGCAAAAGACAGGGCAAGGTGCATTTTTAAGCTACAATAATGAGATGCCTTAGGGGTATAGCAACAACCATAGCTTGTCATTACCAAGCCAGGATGCTTACTGTGACTTTAGCATGTTAAATTCTAAAGCCAACTGGCTGTTAGCTAAAGGCTAGTCTACACTGGCAATGTTAAAGTGCTGCTGTTTCGTGGTATGCAGGAGGCTGTGTGGAGGAGGGCAGTGATGAGCTCCCAAAATCCTAAGAACCGGTTCCCTACCGGGTCATCGATGGCACTTCGGCGGCGGGGGGGGTCTTCACTCGCTCCAGGTTTTCGGTGGCATTTCAGCGACAGATACTTCACCCGGAGCGAGTGAAGACCCCCACCCCGCCGCCGAAGTGCCGCCGAAGACCCGGTAGGGAACCGCACGATGACTACAAGCCCCACGTGCCTGTTTCTCCCCCCCCATCCGACCCCAACCCACGTCCTGCCCCCAACTGACTCCCTCAGAACCCGCAACCCATCAACTCCCCCCGCTCCTTGTCCCCTGACCACCCCCTCCCAAGACCCCCCACCCTAACTGCCCACCCCCTACCCAACTCGCCCCGCTCCCTGTCCCCTGACTGCCCCGACCCCATCCACCACCACCCCAATAGACCCTCGG